GTCTTCCATCAGATTCCTGATAAAAATGTGATATCCTGGACATCTATTATTCTTGGGCTACGGATCAACTACAGAAGCTTTGAAGCCTTGATTTATTTCAGGCAAATGAAACTCAGTTTGAATCCCAATGATGTTACCTTGGTCTCTGTACTTTCTGCATGCGCCAGGATAGGAGCGTTGATGTGTGGGAAGGAGATCCATGCCCATGTATTAAGGAATGGGTTTGGATTCGATGGTTTTCTACCTAATGCACTCCTCGACATGTATGTGAGGTGTGGGAGGATTGAGCTGGCATGGAATCAGTTCGGCAAACAGAGACAGGATGCTGCTTCTTGGAACATTCTCATGACAGGCTACGCAGAGCGGGGGCAAGGTGCACTTGCCATTGAGCTATTCGATAGAATGGTGAGTTCAGAGGTAAAGCCAGATGAGGTTACATTCATTTCTTTACTTTGTGCTTGTAGCAGATCCGGGATGGTCACTGAAGGCTTGCAGTATTTTAATAACATGAAACATGAGTACGGAATTACTCCAAATCTGAAGCACTGTGCTTGTGTGGTGGATTTACTTGGTCGTGCAGGAAAGTTGCAGGATGCTTATGAGCTTATACAAAACATGCCTATGAAACCAGATCCAGCTGTCTGGGGAGCATTGTTAAATGCATGTAGGATTCACAGGCACGTAGAACTCGGAGAACTAGCTGCAAGAAATATTTTGGCAATGGATAACAGGAGTGTTGGGTATTACATTCTCCTGTGCAATCTTTATTCTGGCAGTGGCAAGTGGGATGAAGTTGCAAGAATCAGAAAGACTATGATAGAGAAGGGGCTAACTGTTGATCCTGGATGCAGTTGGGTAGAAGTAAAAGGAAAAGTCCATGCATTCCTGAGTGGTGACAATTTCCACCCCCAGATAAAGGAAATAACTGCAGTCTTGGAGGGATTTTATGAGAAAATGAAGGCGGCAGGTCTTGATGACCCAGAAAGAAGTTTTAAAAATGAAGTTGAAGCTTCAAAAGCTGAGGTTTTCTGTGGGCATAGCGAAAGATTGGCTGTTGCATTTGGGCTCATAAATAGTGTCCCTGGGATGCCCATTCGGGTAACAAAAAATCTGTACATGTGTGGGAGCTGTCATAATACAATCAAATTTATCTCGAAGGCTGTAAGGAGAGAGATTTCTGTCAGAGACACTGAGTGTTTCCATCATTTTAAGGATGGAAGCTGCTCCTGCAGAGATGAGGGTTATTGGGGAAAAGCTTGATTTCATGAACATCTAATTATTTATAAAAGTTCACAAGGCATGCAACAGCTTCCATGGACGGTCACAAACTCGCACTGTCGGTTATGCATCAGCCCTTTATAATGAGGTGTATTGCATCCTACACTGGAAAGAGCTGAATTGTAATCTACTTCCCGAAAGAGCTGTGAAATTGTATATTATCCTGTTCATCACACTTTCAGCGTGAATAGCTGGTTCTTGATACACTTTCCTGGCCACTCGAATGTGGCATTTGGAGATCACTGTACTGGTATAGTGAATTCAGAAGCTTGGCTTGTATAGTTGCTAGTAAGACTTTGTAGTTAGAGCCATGGGAATATGGAAGACATTGAAAGAGACTAAAATTATATTCTTAAGATAGAATTTAGAGGAAGACATGCTTCCATCATGAGTATTTTTTCCATCGCTGGTGTAAACATTATTGAAGTTTCAGAATTTTACGAAATAATAAATGGAGGTATGTTGAACCAATGATACATATCCCTTAGTTTATTGAAAATGTGTTCTGTTTAACGAATTTCAGGTTGCACTAAATCTTGATTTCTTTTGAAGTTCTTGGACGAGTCATTTTCATCTTCCTCTGATAGAATCCTGGATAAGTGCTTTCAGTTTCAGTGCAATAGTTTTACTTCCGTATTCCCAGATAAATACAGGGTTGGTTGGACATTACTGCTAAGTCTCAAATTTTCTTGCTCATATTGTATATCTGGCAGTGCTATTTCTCTTAATACTAAAGTTCAAAGTTCCACATCAGCCCTTCTGGTTTTCTGTAACATAAAGGTGCTCACTATAGCGTCCATGGAGTTCTGGCTTGCCTCCAGTAAGAGCATCAATGATAGTTTTAAATTCCGTAATGCTTGAGGTATCTTTTTTTTGTATTTTCAGCATTCAGCTATTATATTCATCCATTTGTAGTAGTATACTTTTTCCTTTTCTACTCCTTTTATGTGCAAGTGATGCAAACTTTATAAAGTCAATTAGTTTATCACTTATCAAAACGCCAATATTTCATGTCAATGACATTGACGGAGATTATATTACAATTATATTGCCATCCTTGTATGATTGTATCTACAATAATTGTACATTACCATATTATGTTTGATTACATACCATAGTTGTACATATTTCAATTCATATATAATGAAAATTATCCCAAAAGGGGAAAACCATTCGGTCAAAATATTGACATGGTATCAGAGCCAACCTCTCAATTCCACTACCGAATCTTCAATTTCCTTTTCTTTGGTTTTACGTTCTGCCTTTGGTGTACCCAAATTCTGTTTCTTGAACTCCTCTCTTTGCTCGAGGGTTTTCAAGATTCTTGGGTTAATCTCGATCTGAGATTAAGGGTCAACGGCTTCATCGGTTGGAGCAATTCTTTTGTGCGGATTGGAGAAGGTAAAGAGTGTGATTCCTTCTTCTAGTCATGGGTCATCTTCGGTTGGAGGAGGCGAGAAATTTGTGCCATCTGTGTTTTTTTTTTTTTGGTGAAGAGATCGCAACATTCCGATGTTATTGTCTGGGACTGCTGTTACCAAAGTGAGGGATTTTCCTTGGCTTCGTGGGTTGGCTGTGGCGGAGTTGCAGTCGTCGGCTGAAGTGGATTCAGTTTCTTGTGCAGATTCAAATTCACAGTAGTGAATTGGGATTGAGTTTGCTATTCCAAATATTTTTGAAGGTTGGGCATCTATATAGTCTGTTTTATTTGGGTTGCTTCCACTTGGGCTTTCATATTCTGTTTGTTTATTTGGACTTGAACATTTTTTGCTACTATGCACTATATTAATTTGTGGCAGTATAATGGTTTGTTTTTTTTTTTTTTGGGTGTGCATGAGAATGCAGAGGGATGAGAGAGACGGAAATAAATAAATAATAAAAATGATTTTCGTTTTTGGTTAAAGAGGAGAGTGAGACATGGGAGTGCAGACTATTAAGTTTTTGTTGTTTGAGTGATGAGCTAGAGTTTTGGATTATTGGGAGAGGATCACCCATGGGTAGTTTTGGATTCTCAGTTGAGAATCATCTTTGGGTTCTTGGTGTAGATTGTTCTATAGATTTTTTTCAACTGCAGCATCTTGGCCAGCGATATATTTTTGAATTTTTGGCCCTGCATGGGCCGCTAGTGTTGGATAATTTCAACATATATGGGGCCACACGTTGTATATTGAAATGTGTGGTGCTATTATTTAAATGATATTAGTCAATTAAAGTGATCTGCTAAAGGTGTATTATGACTAATGGGTATTAGATTTCATGGAATTATAGTGTAGATACCNATCATGAGTATTTTTTCCATCGCTGTTGTAAACATTATTGAAGTTTCAGAATTTTACGAAATAATATATGGAGGTATGTTGAACCAATGATACATATCCCTTAGTTTATTGAAAATGTGTTCTGTTTAACGAATTTCAGGTTGCACCAAATCTTGATTTCTTTTGAAGTTCTTGGACGAGTTATTTTCATCTTCTTCTGATAGAATCCTGGATAAGTACTTTCAGTTTCAGTGCAATAGTTTTACTTCGGTATTCCCAGATAAATACAGGGTTGGTTGGACATTACTGCTAAGTCTCAATTTTTCTTGCTCATTTTGTATATCTGGCAGTGCTATTTCTCTTAATACTAAAGTTCAAAGTTCCACATCAGCCCTTCTGGTTTTCTGTAACATAAAGGTGCTCACTATAGCGTCCATGGAGTTCTAGCTTGCCTCCAGTAAGAGCATCAATGATACTTGAGTTTTAAATTCCGTAATGCTTGAGGTATCTTTTTTGTATTTTCAGCATTCAGCTATTATATTCATCCATTTGTAGTAGTATACTTTTTTCCTTTTCCACTCCTTTTATGTGCAAGTGATGCAAACTTTATAAAGTCAATTAGTTTATCACTTATCAAAACTCCAATATTTCATGTCAATGAGATCGACAGAGATTATATTACAATTATATTGCCATCCTTATATGATTGTATCTACCATAATTGTACATTACCATATTAGGTTTGATTACATACGATAGTTGTACATATTTCGATTCCTATATAATGAAAACGTTCCCAAAAGGGGAAAACCATTCTGTCAAAATATTGACATGGTATCAGAGCCAACCTCTCAATTCCACTATCGAATCTTCAATTTCCTTTTTTTTGGTTTTATGTTCTACCTTTGGTGTACCCAAATTTTGTTGCTTGAACTCCTCTCTTTGCTCGAGGGTTTTCAAGATTCTTGGGTTAATCTCGATTTGAGATTAAGGGTCAACGGCTTCATCGGTTGGAGAAATTCTTTTGTGCGGATTGGAGAAGGTGAAGAGTGTGATTCCTTCTTCTAGTCACGGGTCATCTTCGGTCGGAGGAGGAGAGAAATTTTGCCATCTGTGTTTTTTGGTGAACAGATCGCAACATTCCGATGTTATTGTCGGGGACTGCTGTTACCGAAGTGAGGGATTTTCCTTGGCTTCGTGGGTTGGCTGTGGCGGAGTTGCAGTCGTCGGCTGAAGTGGATTTGGTTTCTTGTGCAAATTTAAATTCACAGTCGGTTGGGCATCTATCTATATAGTCTGTTTTATTTGGGTTGCTTCCACTTGGGCTTTCATATTCTGTTTGTTTATTTGGACTATATTAATTTGTGGCAGTATAACGGTTTTTTTTTTTTTTGGGTGCGCATGAGAATGCAAAGGGATGAGAGAGATGGAAATAAATAAATAAACAATATAAATGATTTTCGTTTTTGGTTAAGGAGGAGAGTGAGACGTGGGAGTGCGGACTATTAAGTTTTGGTTGCTTGAGTGATGAGCTAGAGTTTTGGATTCTTGGGAGAGGATCACCCATGGGTGGTTTTGGATTCTCAAATGAGAATCATCTTTGGGTTCTTGGTGTAGATTGTGCAGCATTTTGGCCAGCGATATAATTCTGAATTTTTGGCTGTGCATTAGCCGTTAGAGCTTTTGTTAGAATACGAATTATGTGTTCGATTGAGTTATCTCGACTGATAGAGCTTATTATGTGTGGTTGGCACACTTCGTTGGAAATTCTTGGGTGTGAGCTCTCTAGAGTAGTTTTGGAGTGTTCTTGAGTGGTTTTGGAATGATTCTTGCTTGTCTGCCTGTCTCTGCACTAATTGTTGTTCTTGGGTCTTTCGTCGTCACTATTTTTCGTAGATGATTGCTGTGATTTAGGTCTCTTCTTCGTGGACATAAACATTGTCACCGTCACCAGTACATGATTGCAAATTGTTGATTTTATTTACTAGCATAAATTTGAGGTGGATGTCAATGAGATCGATGGAGATTATATTACCATAATTGTACATTGCCATATTAGATTGATTACCATAGTTATACATATTTCTATTCCTATATAATGAAAGCGATCCCAGAAGGGAAAACAATTCAGCCAAAATATCGACATTTCACTTTATATATTGGGTTAATTAATTTGCTAGAGGATCTAGAATCCTAACCCTCTTATCCTCCATGTCCACCTGAATCAAAAACATCTTATTCATTGAGCAAAAGGATCAGTTCCTCCGACTCTCTATCACTGATGTTGCAACCAAAACTAAAAATTCCATCATTCTGAAGAAAATAGAGGGAGCAAAAGTCCCCACCTTCCATACATCTTCTCCCGATATTTTTCTGTTTTATGTTCCCAGTACCCAAACCACCTATACATTTTAATATTGAAACCAATCCTCGAAGCCACTAAGGACATATTGCTAGATAGTTGACATTACGATGGACAAAACTTTAGCTTCATTTTTCTTTCCTAATACTGACCAATGTTGTCTTGCCCAACTTACCTTACATGCCGCTAATGCTATTTTGTCCCATCTAAATGTTAGGACTATTGTTGTTATATCCTATGTTGGGATAACAATACTGAAGCATCGATTTAATTCATTACTTGCTCCCTTCCTTTTCCAGATTTGTCATTGTTTTCCATGGTTAAATTGCATCAATCTCTAGTTATTCTAGTAGCTTTTTGACGGACTGAAATCCTTGAAATTCTTGATTAGTCAATTGAATCCATCAACTTTGGTTAGTTTCAAAATTATTTTTTGTCTCTTTAGACTCGAGTAAAATGATTGGCATATGATGCAAAGTTAAGAAGCAAAACCTCGTCTGGTTTGATTTCTCCTTTTTTGCTTTCTTACATGCAGTACAGTAGCTCGATCATATGTATCTAGCTTTGAGAAGGTCTTCACACTTGTTGATTCGGGAGATCAAATCTGTACTCAAAAGTGGAACTTGGTGATCATGTTACAATCAATGCACAAGGCTCCCACTTCTTCTGGAACAAAAAATGGGGATTCCAACCATTTCTGCAGCAAGATGGAGAAAAACCGCCTCAGGCTGGAATACAAGTAAATCTCAATGCCCCAAAAATTCTTATCCACTCCTCTTATTCCAAGTCTTTCTTGAACATTGAGCGTGCATGGTGAACACTTGGTCATGATATGTTCATACTTTCTAATCTCATTATTATTCTTTTTCTGTTTGTATCTTTGGCTCTTTAATTTAGCCACCACACATCTAGAAAATCAGCCAAAAAATTTCCATTCAGTATCGTCCTTCGTTGATTTCATATAGTTGGTTTCATGTAATTTCCCTAGGTATGAAAGAATGCTATATCATTGATGTCTTAGATACATGAGAAACTTCGGGTAAACTTTAAGGTGAATTGAAAAAACTGACTTCAAAGCTGTTACTGTTGGGGTGATGAAAAGGTTCTCAGAAGAGACTAAAATTGTTATCAAACAACAAGCTGTTATTGCAAATACCTCACAACCAGTATAATTACATGAATATGAAAAATCACACCTAAATTCACACAATTATTTAGCTAGAAAGTGTTCAACACTCTCAACAAATCATACCATAGTATCATACTATATGAAACACACACCTAAATCTTCACTGCTCTCTTTATTGTTTGGATTGATGATTTAATGAAGCTGTTACGGGATACATGAACATCATCGATATCATTGTCATCACGTACCAAAGGCTTTTTCCTTATCCAATCCACTTTCTTTTTCATGTTCCCCAAAATCAGAGATGGAGAAGATGGGATTCGCCGAAATGCCCTGGCACTCTCTGACATCAAAAGTTCCCTTCCCTTTTGACTCTTACCCATTCTCACATTCTCTTCAAAGCTATCGGGTTGTCCAACTCCTGTACCAGTTGAACCCGATTCATTCGTGTAGCTTCTTCTCTGTGGTTCGAGTCTGTAAGGATGGTTCTTTAAGTGAGTGGTTTTATTGGTTACATTAGCAATTGAATTCGTTTTCCCATTCTCTATTTCGTTGTTTGAGAGTGACTTCTTAACTTCCATTTCAAGAATCATTTTTGTATTTTTGTTATTTTTCTCCATGACCAACTGCTGATTGGTTACCTCGTACAACTTTTCCATACTCTCTTTAGTTTGTAATTCATCGGCTCTTGAATCTATGATCTCCCTCTCTGGAGAAACGAGGCAATTTTAGGATTTAAGACATTATTTTCTAGCGCATTCTCCGACTGTTCCATAGTTTCTGATTCCTTGGCTCTTTCAACTATGATCTCCATCTTTGGAAATATAAGATCCTGCTTCTGAATTAATTCCTCAGTTCCATTCTCATTGGACTTTTTAGGATTGAAGACATCATCTTCTTGCGTATTCTCCAACAACTGAAGCCACTTCTCTATATTTCCTTTCCCTCTTTCCTTTATGCTTTCTTCGTCCTTCTCTTCATCTCGTTCACGATGAATTGGTAATGGAATGTTGCATACCGCCTCCTCTCGTCGTCTATCCAGCTTTTCAAGCCTATTTTCAACTGGATTACCATCTTCTGTCACAACCATGGTTTTGTCACTTTTCTCGTCCTTCTTTATGCTAATTTTGTCACTGATTTCACTGCATCCCTTGTCGAGTTCTTCTTCTCGTTCTTTAATCATTAGTAGACTTGCATCCGAAGCTTTTTGTTCTTTCCACGGTTCCTTGTGCAAAGGGGCCATTGAAGTATCATTCATCTCAATTTGTTGTTGCACTTTTGTCTTGTTTTCTGGCAAATAAAAAACCAGCCTTTCATCTTTCTCTTCCTGAAGGGTATCATCCATTCTTGATCTCTTCCTTGCCTGTTCCGTTCTGGTCTTGTCCGCTTCTCTAGCTCGTCTTTTAGTTTATATTTCCTGTGTAGTTCTCTTTCTGCAGAATTGCAAATTGCTTTCTGGGCTTCAAGTCTAGCCAAGAGGGCACTAGTTGTTGCTTGATTCAGCCTCACTTGTTCTTTATAGACAACACTCCTGCAAAAACGAAAACAATTCAAAATTCAATTTGTTGATTAAAAATTCATTCCACCATTCCCCCGAGATGAAAAATAAAAAAATCAAACAATGGGTTAAAACATAAGCAAAAGTTTAACCTCAATTTTGTTTCAAGTCAGTAGGCAGTAAACTTATTTGAGTTATTTCTTATAATTTGATCACTCTGTTAGTGACCAAGATGAAATCTCGCTATGAAGTTTAGCAGTCACAATTGTATTTAACCTTCAAAAGTCTTGCGTTAGGTTGTTAATGATCTTACTGGTGCATGGCATCCCGAATCATCTTCTCTAACATTGCTCTGTAGGATGTTTGTGCCTCTGCTAGCCGTCGACACTTTTCAGCCCGTCTTCTTCTCTTTATAAGCACTAATTCCAGTTCTTGGATGCTGGCTTTCTCCTCATCAGTCTTCTGCTGCAATTCATGGTCTTCTGCTGGCTTTTTTTTTAAAATTCTTACAGATTATTCATTTCTAAGAATAATATAGCAAAATGAAATTTGTTTACCCAAGATGATTGAGCTTTTTCCACAGAAGACTGAGAAAAATCTTGGGCTTTGTTGTGGGTTTTGCTTTGGGATCAATGATTGGGAACATCTCATCTAATTCATTTGCTCTTGAATCCTGTCACCACAAAAGGGTCAGAAGGCTTTTCTGATAGAAAAAATAAGAGCTCATTTGGCTGAGCTTAAAAAAATAAATAATTTCATTTTATTTCAAAAACGTGTTTGAAGTATTTGATTTTCTCTTTCTTTTAATCAAGTACATATTTCTTAACTGTAAAAAAAAAAAAAAAACTTTTAAAATTTTCACCATTTAAAGCATTATTTTTTAAGTATACTTTTTAGCTTAGCAAGCATGCTCTAAGACTTGAGAAAGAGCATGTTTGCGAAGTGTTTTAAATTAAAATAGATAGAAATGAATGATATATAAGTGAATATTATTTGTGATTCTCTTAAAACATGGGATTAAAAGTGGCTCGAGTATTTATAAATATGAGCCAAACATAAGCTTAGATCCTATTTTTCACATTTTCTATTCCGAAACCCGATTAAAGGAGGATGGTTGCAGTAAATTATAAACTAAAACTTCATATTATTTTTTAACCAACATGAGAATGGACTAGGGTTATGAGCTTATAATCTAGAGTATCATTTGGACAAATAAGAATTCCCTTCGATACATGATCTCTTCTTCATATGGACATAGATGTAACTCATGTAAGATTTATGGAGCAATTACTTAGAAGTACAAAGAAAAAGAAACTGCCCTTTAAAACCTGAAATTTATCGAGAAGTGGAAAAAAATTAAAATAGTGCATTCAACTACAGTCTAAAGATACTCACTACAACTCATACAAGATTCAGCAAGAAAAAACTTTCAAAAGTTACACAGACGATTTGCCTCAGTTGTATCCTTGAATTCTAAAGTTTAAAAAACAAAGCCAAGCCGAGGATACTTGAGATTTTAGTCGTAAATTAAGTTCAAAATCACAATGAATTGTTACCTCCAAAACCACAAAAGTTTTCTTTTCTGAAAAAAACCCCGAAAATGCAAGTCTAAATCTCATAAAACAGCAGAAAGAGTGAAGAGATTGATTGGTACCTCTTGGTGTGGCAGAGAATACGGAGTGAAAGTGAAAGGAGGGCCATGGCTGAAGGACCTGAAACTCGGGTCTCCGCGGATCTTAGCATAGGCTTTCGGGTACCCGAGTGCTTGGTTGATTGACATTTCTTCGTCTGTGAACACGCGGTCGGTCGCCATTAGTAGAAATGTATATCAGCTTCTTCTTTGAAGAAATCTTGATTACAGAAGCAGATATTAGAGTGACGTAGTTTTGAATAGGAAATTTTTAGATGCTCAACGGTCGTTTCCATTTTTAAAAGATTTATTATGTTGTTTTTAGAAAAAAACCATTTGTACATTTTTGTGTACATTAAGGGCGTGTTCGGTAGAGATTAAAATTGGATTAAAATTGAAAAATTAGCCGTTATTGTTGACTTTTATTAGATGGGTGAGACCCAATAACGACCATATTTTCAATTTTAATTGAATTTTAAGCTG